GAGGCTAAGCATCGTTCGGCTATAAATAACCATTCCATGCACCATCTGCTTTTTTGCAATATTTTTCTCATTCTCTCTTCCTTTCCACTCGCCCGTCATCCATGAGCAGTACATTGTGCACTTTTATTTTTCTGCATCATATTTATTCCTATATGCACACACCATGTGAAGCATTACCCGAATTTATATGCACATTCTTCAATATTATAATCCAAACATATTGCAACCGCTCGCTTACACAATTTAAAATATATATGCAATATATTTTTTTATCATCATCGTCGTCATCATATATCTTATGGCCATAACCACAACAACTTTTTCATTTCTTTTTTGTTTTTGTTGCTTTTTGTTTTTTATGGATATTTTTTTCTAATAACTGAGTATCTCTTAGGGGTCATTCACTTATTACGTAACGCTTTTAGGGGGAGGGGGGGTCTAAGATTTTGTTACGGTTCAAACAAGGAAATTTTTTTTCATACAAATTTTGTTACGAGGGGGGGGTCTAAGAAGTCATTTTTTCGCGTTACGTAATAAGTGAACAGCCCCTTAACTAGAATAAAGCACAGCTAAAATGTCGCTCAGTCAGAATAACGCTTAGCTAGAATAACGCTCAGCCTTAATGACGCTCAGCTAGAATAACGCTCAGCTAGAATAACGCTCAGCCAGAATACTGTTAAGCTAAAATAACGCTCAGCCTTAATGACGCTCAGCTAGAATAACGCTCAGCTAGAATAACGCTCAGCTCGAATGACGCTCAGCTAGAATGACGCTAAGCTAGAATAACACTCAGCTAAAATAACGCTCAGCTAGAATGGCGCTCAGCTAGAATGGCGCTCAGCTAGAATTACGCTCAGCTAGAATAACGCTCAGCCAGAATACTGCTCAGCTAGAATAACGCTCAGCCGTAATGACGCTCAGCTAGAATAACGCTCAGCTAGAATAACGCTCAGCTAGAATGACGCTCAGCTAGAATAACGCTAAGCTAGAATAACGCTCAGCTAAAATAACGCTCAGCTAGAATGGCGCTCAGCTAGAATGGCGCTCAGCTAGAATTACGCTCAGCTAGAATAACGCTCAGCTAAAATAACGCTCAGCCATAATGACACTCAGCTAGAATGACGCTCAGCTAGAATAACGCTTAGACAAATGACGCTAAGCCAGAATGATGCTTTGATAGAATGACGCTCAGCTAGAATAACGCTCAGCCATAATGACACTCAGCTAGAATGACGCTCAGCTAGAATGATGCTTTGATTGAAGAAATAAATTAAAAATTTTCAGAGAAAACCTCGCTTATTCAATGTCATCCTTAATCCCTCCCTAACCCACCTTATCGGTTCTTTATTTTCCACTCCAATAGATGCATTAAATGAAAAAAAATTCCAATCTTTTAATATGAAAAAATTAAACTTGAAAAGGAAAAAAAAATTTATTTCATATTCATTACATGACTTCAAATGTGTTTTGTTGCTTCCGGTGTTATTGCTGTTGATCATCATCGTCATCATCGTCGATATTTGTTATTATTATAGATATATAGCAGCATTGAGATGGATTTTAAGTGAAAAATGAAAAGTTTTTATGGCTTATGAGCTTTTTTTTATGCTGAGCATATCGATAACATAGTGAAGCTGATTCAATTAACTTTTGTAATATGATGATGGGAATTGTGATGAGTATGGCTGGGGATATGAATGGAATTCTAGGTTATGATAAAGTTTTTGAAGGTTATGGCAGTTATTAAAAGCTAATTAGGCGCCAAACTGTGCGGTTTACGTGAATTTTGATGCTGAGAAACTTGAACCGTATTCTGTACACCACTTTTGACTCTCGATCACTTGAATCTCATTCATTAGCCTCAAAAACTCAAAAAATGCACAAATTTGAATTCAACTCAGTTGCAGCAACAACCATTGTTACTGACTATCAAATAAAATTTATTCAATCGGTTTTTTATTCAATTTCAATTAGTTTTTATTGCCACACAAACAATTTTTCTACTAAAATTCAAATTCAGGAACATTTTTTTATGGTTTTTCAAAAACAAAAGCTCGGCGAAAAAAAAAAAATTGTTGCAATAAATAAAAATTTTGCGATATTTTATATCATTCTGCATGATTGAAGCGATTCAAAATGTTCTTTTTTATTATTTTGTGAATAATCGATTCAATTATTTTAATCCGATTGGAAAATATTTATGTGTGCTGTGTGATAATGTGTGGGAATTGGCTGGCTGGTGGTGGGGGTTTGGGGGCGGTGTAAGTGAATTTTGATTTGGTGGGTGTTGAAATTGTTGAGGAGTGTTATTTGGATGAATAATGTGTCAATTGGACATGATATTGAGTTGATCTATAAAAGATAGAAACCTAGCTTGGAGGGTGAAAGAAGGGGGGGTGGAGGGGGGTCCATAGGATAATTTTTTTAAGATTTTTTTTCTTCTCAAAAAATCTAGGAAATTAAAAAAAAATCGGGGGTCCCCAAAAATCCCCCCCCCCCATCCTTCCCCATCCCCACAGCTTTGCGTCTATTAATCCCAGCAATGACTGATGAAAAAATTTCATTTATTTTCTATTTTCAAATTCAAATCCAAAAATTTCTTCTGACAAAATTTATGCGAATTCTTTTATATTTTATTTCCAAATTCATTCCACACTCAAGCTCAAGCTCAAGCTCAGCTCACTTATTCGGATATTTATGATCAGAATGGAATGTGCGTTTTGGGAATTTATTGCACTGCCTGCCTGCCTGCCTATGTCGGAGCATATAATCATCGCAATATAAAAATGAAAATCCTTTCCCACAAATTTTCATAATATTTATTCTCGAACATATTTTCATGATAAAATATGAATGGATGTGAGTGAACGTATGCGTGGCGTACAGCATCTGAATCACAAAGAGCTTTTTTCCAGCATGTAACGAGGTATCAGCAACACATGAAAATGCGATAAGGCAATTTTTTTCTTATTCAATGTTGCGTGTTTGTGTCTGAAGATGAGGATTAATGGTGGAATGGGATGTGAATTTTAGATTAGATGGAAGGAATGAAGTAGAGAATTAATTGTCTAAGGCAGTGGTGCACAACCTTTTTTGTGGCACGGTTCACCTTTGTGGTAATTTGAGTGATGAGTTTTCAATCACATGGCTTGTGAGCTTTGTCGAATTTTTTCAAGTGGACCGCGGCACATAGGTTGATCACCACTGTTCTAAGATCAATGGGAAGGCTAGGCAGCTTGATAAGCTTTCTGTTCAACAGGAACGTAGCCAAGGATGGCCCAAAGTTGGTCCAACTTTCAACCCTCCCCCCCCCCCCCCTCTTTCTATAAGTTTGGTCCCCCCTGAATTTATTAAAAAATTTCTTCTGGCTCCGTGATAGCTCAAAAATTCAACAAAACTCAGCACACAAAAATAATTTAAATTTTTAATGAAATTTTCTTCAATATTAAAAAAAACTTTTCATTTAATTATTTTTTTGGTATTTTCCTCGCGATGCCTTGAAGCCATCAAAATAGTAGAACAGCAACAGAAGCACAAATACACTAAAAAATTGAAATACAGCAGCCACAAAATATAAATTCGTGCACACAACTTGCTTACATGCTGGATGCTGAATATAAAATTGAATTTTTTTCACATCAATTTTTATTTTCTTCAATCATTCATTTTTTTCACATAATACAATTTGCATTATTATTATTTTTATGAAACACAATGAGTTATGAATTTATAAAGCACGAAGAACATGCAGGCAAGCAGCTGAATGTGAATTTTTTATCGTGTTTTTCCATTTGTTTATTAAAAAGTTTTCCTCAATTTTGTGTGTGAAATTGTTGGTTTTTACAGTACTTCAAGTGTTGAAGCAGTGCTGGACATGGCTGTGCTGCTTTAGAAGAGTTTTAAGCTATGACTAAACCTACAAGAAATAATCATCAATATCTCATGACTTGATAGTTTTCATTCATTTTTATTTAAAGACGAGAAAAATTCAGTTTTTTTTTTTCCTTTTCCATTTGAATGACTTCCTCTTTTGCTTGTTCTCTGAATGTGCAATATCCTCGTTGTTCATGAATGAATCGATGCTTTTTGTGTAAGAATATAAAGCTGGCATTTAATGCTGTCTATGAAGATATTAAACAGCTAAAGTTGGATAAGTTTTGAATCACAGCGACTAAGTAAAGCATTTGTAAAAAAAAGTGGAAAGTTTTTGAGTTAATTTGAAGCATCTTCTATCCTATTGCTAGAGATTATCTCAAAAAACAGCCTCACAGTGTTGCTTGCAGCTAAACCTAAGCTAATGTCCATCAATATTACAATATTCTCTTTAAATCCAGCTACAAAAAAGGAGATGAAAATTTCCTGAATTTTTTTAATGATCAAAGTGATTCCAATTCGCCTGTTTATCTTCCGTTCATTTCCATCTCTTTTCATTCATTGTTCAACTGCAATCGTTGCTTAAAAATCTCACAAATGGATTTTCCGTGTTGGAATTAATGAATTAGAAAATTTTAATTGCCGTCATTAATAAATCTGGTGAGATTGGTATAGGATTTTAAAATGATGGGGAAAGATGATGGATATTGTCTGTTGGGTAATGAATAGACTTTAAGATATTGCGGAAAGTTCTAAATTCAAACATATTTTGGGTTATCATGCAACAATGAAACAAAAATCTTTCTAAATTATAGCAAAATATGGCACAATTATAGCAAAATAAGGCACAAATATAGCAAAATTATAGCAAAATATGGCACAAACATAGCAAAATTATAGCAAAATATGGCACAATTATAGCAAAATATCTCACAATTATGGCCAAGTATCGGGAAATTATAGCAAAATATGGCACAATTATAGCAAAATATGGCACAATTATAGCAAATTATGGCACGCATATAGCAAAATTATAGCAAAATATGGCAAAATTATAGCAAAATATCTCTCAATTATTGCCAAGTATGGGGAAATTATAGCAAAATATGGCACAATTATAGAAAATAATGGAAAAAATAGGGCCAAATATAGTAAAAGTATTGCAAATTATACCACAATCAAAGTAAAATTTTTTGCAAGAATAAAGCAAAAAAAAAAGCAAAAACACATCACGTTGCAACAAGCAAACAATTATTTTCAAATTTTACAAAATAATTTATGTCTAAATAATCCTTAAACAATCCAAAATCCCATCGCATAAATAATTCAAGCTCTTACGTGCAAAACAGATAAAATAGTCATCAATGCTGCACTTAAAATTCATAAACATTCGTCAAATTGCAAAATGCACTCAAAAAATGCCAGATTGAGCATTCAAATTCATGAATAATGTGTACAAATGATGATGAATGTTCCTTAATGTGAGGAACTCGAACGAATAGCAGAAATAATTGCACAAATTGTGCTCAAATGGGGAAGCAGTGAAGAGTCACAATCACATAAATTTTGATCGCTTTAATGGGCTGCTTTTGTTGCTTTTTGGTTGATGAATTTCTCATTTTTATTGCTTTTATATTGGACATTTTAGTTGCAATTTATGGGGATTAAATACGCTAAAATTTGTGTTTCATTAGAATTTTGGACAATCTTCAAGTTGTTATAATTCTGCCAGATTTTGCTATAAAGTTGCCATATTTTGCTATAAAATGCCATATTTTGCTATAAACTTGCACTTTCTACTTTTCTATGAACTTTCCATGGTTCAAAAATTCTGTAAAATCTGCTAAAATAATCACACATATCAAAAATTTACCTTAACAATAACAATCCATAAAATAAACCCAAAAACACTCAAAAAACTTAAACTAAGAAAAACAAGAAAAAGGAAGAAGAAGCCGCAATAACAAACTGAAATTCGCTTTCTCACTTTCGTGTCGCCTTTGCTTCAAGTTCTTCTTCTTCCTCCACCAACATCTCGTTTTTCGTAATTAAGCGAATTTGCTGATTGGAATTTTAATTAGAAAGCATAGCGAGAAATTACTTTTTTCCTCATTTCTTCTTTTTTGTGTTCTTCATGCCTGCTTTTCAATATTGTCATTAATGCTGTTGATATTTCCTTTGCTTTTTCTTTCTTTTTATCTTTTTTACGTTTTGTTTGGTTTGATGTGTGCTTTGGGGAAGGTCTTTTGTTGAGATGGAAATAAATTGGATTGGCTGTTCAGTTGGTGCCATAATTGCTATAAATCTAGCATAATTTTTGTAAAACTGCAATAACTTTATGGTGATTGTTATAAAACTGTTATAACTGCTATAAAATTACGACAACTGCTATAAAATTATGGCAACTGCTTTAAAAGTATAGCAACGGCTTTATAATTATAGCAACTGCTTTTAAAATTATAGCAACTGCTTTATAATTATAGCAACTGCTTTATAATTATAGCAACAGCTATAAAATTATAGTAACCGCTATAAAATTATGGAAACTTCTATAAATTTATGGCAATTGCTATACAATTAAAGCAACTGCTATAATTTTGAAAACACAATTTTTGTCTAACTTCCAATTCTTACAACAATTTCACTAAATCTTCACACAAAATAAAACGCACAAAAAAATCTGCTTTTCAAATCTCACGAAAATTTCCATCAGATTACATTTTTTATGACCCTCGTGCTCTTATGGGATTTTATTCTCATCTAACCGTAATGTGAATTGTGAATTGAATGAAGTTGAGGGTAAGTTGATGATTGAAGGCATGATGATGATGTTCACTAGTTGATAAGAGCAAGAAAATGAAATAAAGAAAATGTTGCCGTTACCTTTGATCTTTAAGAGATGAAATAAAATTTGTTTTTTTTTCTGCTATTTGAGAAAATTGGATTTTCTATTTCTCTGGTGTGTACACGTGGATTACTTACTCTTTGAATATGGATGAGTGGTTGCAAATTTAGATTATTTTTAAAGGGCGCTTTGTAATGTGAGATTTTGTAAGAATTTTTGAAATTATGGCACAACTAATATAATTGCTAGAATTATGGCTCAATTAGTATAACTGCTAGAATTGTGGCACAATTAGTATAACTGCTAGAATTATGGCACAACTAATATAACTTCTAGGATTATGGCACAATTAGTATAACTGCTAGAATTATGGCACAACTAATATAACTGCTAGGATTATGGCACAACTAATATAATTGCTAGAATTATGGCTCAATTAGTATAACTGCTAGAATTATGGCACAACTAATATAACTGCTAGAATTATGGCACAACTAATATAACTGCTAGGATTATGGCACAATTAGTATAACTGCTAGAATTGTGGCACAATTAGTATAACTGCTAGAATTATGGCACAACTAATATAACTGCTAAAATTATGGCACAACTAATATAACGGCTAGGATTATGGCACAACTAATATAACTGCTAGGATTATGGCACAATTAGTATAACTGCTAGAATTGTGGCACAATTAGTATAACTGCTAGAATTATGGCACAACTAATATAACTGCTAGGATTATGGCACAATTAGTATAACTACTAGAATTGTGGCACAATTAGTATAACTGCTAGAATTATGGCACAACTAATATAACTGCTAAAATTATGGCACAACTAATATAATTGCTAGAATTATGGCTCAATTAGTATAACTGCTAGAATTATGGCACAACTAATATAACTGCTAGGATTATGGCACAATTAGTATAACTGCTAGAATTGTGGCACAATTAGTATAACTGCTAGAATTGTGGCACAATTAGTATAACTGCTAGAATTATGGCACAACTAATATAACTGCTAGAATTATGGCACAACTAATATAACTGCTAGAATTGTGGCACAATTAGTATAACTGCTAGAATTGTGGCACAATTAGTATAACTGCTAGAATTGTGGCACAATTAGTATAACTGCTAGAATTATGGCACAACTAATATAACTGCTAGAATTATGGCACAACTAATATAACTGCTAGAATTGTGGCACAATTAGTATAACTGCTAGAATTGTGGCACAATTAGTATAACTGCTAGAATTGTGGCACAATTAGTATAACTGCTAGAATTATGGCACAACTAATATAACTGCTAGGATTATGGCACAATTAGTATAACTGCTAGAATTGTGGCACAATTAGTATAACTGCTAGAATTGTGGCACAATTAGTATAACTGCTAGAATTATGGCACAACTAGATTGGCAACTAGAATTATGTCAAAAATGATATAAAATAAAATTAAATTTTTTTTCACCAATCTCAACTTTTCTTCCTTTTTTCATTTATTTCCTTTTCGCTTCACTTCTTTTAGACTCGAAGCAACTTTATTTTAATGAACTTTTTTTTCCCTCATTTAATTGAGATTTTTTTCTTTATTTTCTTATCTAGCTTGTTGTGCTTTTCTTTGTCTTTAGTTTTTCTATTCTTAGTCCTGTTTTTTTTTTTTTCTTGTTTTGTACTTTTATCTTATTTTTTATATTCAACTTAATAAAATGAAATTGAGTAATGAATTTTGTTGTAGTTTACTTTGTGAAAAGAAAAAAGATCAATGACGATAGTCCTCTGGAACTGAACGTGGACGATACTTTTAGATTTTGGTGGGTTGTGAAGGTCATTGTTGGTAGGGTTTCCAGAATTGGGGTTTTCTTGGGTTGTGCTGCCATGAGAATTAATTATAGAATTCTAAAATAAGTTTATATAATTAATGTTGCGTGAATTTAAGCTTATCTCAATCTACAGAACTTTATAGCTACACTATGTGTTCCAAACGAAATATTTGAACATTTAAAAGCAGCAAGCAGCATGAAAAGTGAGCTTTTATGGTAAGTTCTGTTACAGATATGGGATAGGACTAGGCAGATCTCTAAGTCGATAGGGTTCAAGTCGACTCGAGTTGACTCGACTTGGCTCAAGACTGAGTCGACTCAAGTCGATTTCGAACTCTGAGTAGAATAGGAATAATCAAAAGACTAGGAAACGATTCTATAAGAAAATCAATCTAAAAATTCAATTCCACAGCATCGCCATCCTAACCAGCACCAACTGCATCCTGATCATCTCAGCAATCTCATTGCCATGTTTATATGAGGATGATAACTGGATAATTGACAATAAGACTTGTAAAGGATTCAAATGTTCTGTTCGAGGTAAATTTGAAGTAAAGTCACGCAATACAGTCATTGATGGAATCAAACGTAAAGACCCAACTGGATATCCTCAACCTGAAAACTACGCTGACCCATCAACATTATGGATTGATAAGTTAATCATGTGGTACATTCCAAAAGGATTAGAAACTTATTTTGCAGCTTTGATATCCTTGACAATCATGCGCGTCGAATTAAAGGAATTAAAGCAGGCAGACTTGAAGGTATTTCCAAATTTGACATTCCTGAACCTGAACAACAATCAAATTGAGGTCCTCGGCAAAGACTTGTTTAAGTTCAATCCAAAATTGCAAGGAATCATGCTGAACTTCAACTTGATCAAGTACATTGATGAGAACATTTTGAATGACATGAAGGAGCTTAAGCTGATTAGTTTTGGATCAAATGACTGCATCAATCAAGGCGCTTCAAAGCGAGATGAAGTTATGACAAAAGTTAAGAATGCAATCAGGAACAATTGTCAACAATATGGACAGCTTCAAAAGACTGAAGTTTCAAAAAAGACTGGAACTCAGCATGGGAAATACTTTTGGATTTGGGTTGGATGTGGAGTCATTGTTGGGATATTTGTGATTTGTGCTGTTTCTAGGATTATTTATGGAATTTTTAAGAAAGCTTAAATTATTTAATAAAGTTATTTTAGAGCCATATCTGGACAAACTCATCCTAAAGGTACCATTCATAGTAAAACAATGTGCCGCGACACACAGTTTAAGAACTCCTGTAAAAACTCATTTTCGTGTTTTAAAGTTTAATCAGTAAAATCAGATTTCGTATAACGTTCCATTTGATAGCATCAAGCAGTGCTGGTCAACCTTTGGTTTCAGCTTGAACACACATTGAAGCAAAGAAAGTCCAACCGAGCCTTAATAGCTTCAAAAAAAACTTTGGTGCCGTGACACATTAGTTGGCAACAACTGCCTTACAAAAAAGGAATTAAATCATTTAATTTGTCATTGCTTAGTTGCAATTGAGAATTAGACATGATTTATATACTTTTTAGGTAAGTCCGATAAACTTAACAACTGCCAATAATTAAAAATTCAAACTTTTACAGCATAATCCTTCTTCTCAGTACCGTGACTTCAGCCATTGACATCCCATGTTCTTATTCAAAAGGATCAAAGAATATCACGGACATCAAAGGTCCTGAAAAGTTTGAATGCTCAGTTTTAGATAAATTTGAGGTTAAGACACGTGGTGTTGCTGTTTACAACATTAAGAATACAAATTCGACACAAACTCATCGACCAAATAGCATTGAAGACGTAATAGCTTTAAAAATTGGATTTAAACTTTTAAACTTCATACCAAGCGGAATTGGAAGGCTCTTGCCTAAGCTATTAAAGTTAAAAGTAACAAACTGTGAATTAAAGGAAGTTATGCAAGTTGACTTGATGCAATTTCCACACTTGAGGATTCTTGAACTTTCGACAAATGACATTGAAGTTATTGGAAAAGATTTGTTCAAGTTTAATCCGAGTTTGGAGTTGATAGATTTAAATTACAACAACATTAAGGAAATAGCAGGCAATGTCTTTGATGATTTGAAGCATTTAAAGTACTTGAGGCTGACTGGAAATCTATGCACACAATTAAGTAGTGAAAATATTCAAAAAATCATCAAAAATGTCAAGGAAATGTGTTCAGGCACAGCACACAAGTCTCAAAAAGATGACGACAATGAGCCCAAGAAGCATAAGAAACTTGACGTCAGTCATGGAACTAAATTTTGGATTTTTGTTGGATTTGGGGTAGTTTCTGGATTTATAGTTGCTGGTGGATTGATCTTGATTGTTTATCGGATCATCAAGCCATCCATTTAAGGTCGTGTGCTTGAATGTTGCTGAAGGTTATCATAATTTGTGTCAATTTCCATGTTTTGTGTGTCGTGCAGTTGGAAAAAATGTTGAATTATTGAATAAATTTGATAAAATTGTTGAATTTCATTTGTTGTTGAGTTTACGGACTGAATAGTCATGACAGTTTCCAGGTAAATTTTGAGCAAAACTTTATTTTGCAAATTCATTTCAAAAGGCAGCCTTAGTTCAGCCATGTCCTGCCTCTTTCTGTGAGCTGAGCTGAGATTTTCTGATTCAACCCGGAGTGGATTTTAGAGTTTTAGCTTAAAAATATGACTTAGACAAGACTGACTAAGCTTAAACAGGTCGAATAGACCTTGAATGATCTTAGTCGAGTCTGGTCATGCTTAACGGAACTTACTTGATTTTGGCTGAATCTGACTGAATTAAATTGAAACTTAATTGAGCTTAACCAACCCCTAATTGACCCTAATCGCCCCTAATCAACAATATGCGACCCTATTCAGCCTTAATCGACAATAACCGCCCCTAGTTGACTCTAATCGATCGTAATCGCCCCTAATCGACTCTAACCTACCCTTACTTGCTTGCTTACTTACTTCGATAACTTTATAGGTCAAATATGATCCATGGCCTCCCTCAGATGCCACTTAAAATAGTCTTTATCGCTGGCTACCGCTTGCCAATCTCCTTTACCAAATGCAATACTGTCTCTATCAACAGCCTCTTTTCATGAGTTCTTTGGTTCTAACCTACGCTTACTGACTCTAATTCACCCTATTTGACCTTAGTCGAACCGATCAGACCCCAATCGAACCTATCCGACCCTAATCGAACCTTTCCGACCCTAATCGAACTTATCTGACCCTAATAGAACCTATCCGTCCCTAATTGAACCTATCCGACCCTATTTAAGCTTAAATAGCTCTTACCTATCTCAAGATCTAGTCTTTGTTCACTTAATAGCCTTCTTAATAGACTAAGCCCCTTTCTGTTCATTTATCTGCACATTCACACTCATTATTCATCAATTCCTAAATCTTCATATTTCCAGCCTCACCTTCCTCCTCATTTTCAACACCATCTTGACCGTCTCAGCAGTAAAAATGCCGTGCTTATTCAAAGAAGTCATATGGAAAATGGATAACAAATCGGAAGATGGATTTAGATGCACCGGCGATGGCAAAGCTGAATTTAAACAGCGTGGAATTGTAATTGATGGAATAAGTCCAATTAAGCATAAAGGATATCCACAACCTGAAAATTATGGTGATAAATCTGAAATTTATATCGCATCACAGGACGTCTTTTATTTTCCGAGAGGATTTGACAAGTTTTTTACACATTTAGTCATGCTTCGTGTCACTTTGTGTCGACTAAGAGAAATCAAGCAAGACGACTTGAAAGTCTTTCCAGATTTAATTTATTTAGATTTGGACAGCAATTATCTTGAAGTTATCGAAAAAGATTTATTCAAATTTAATCCAAAAATTGAAACAATTCTTATGGACTTCAATTTGATTAAGTTTATTGATGCAAACTTTCTCGATGACTTGAAAGACCTCAAATTCATCACTTTAGCTGGAAGTGCCTGTATCAACATTAGAGCTGAGACTAGAGAGAAAATATTGACGAAATTAAGAAAGGAAATCCAAAAAAGTTGTCAAAATCACGATGAATTGGAGAATTTAGCAAAAATCAATAAAACAGGAACTAAGCATGGTCGATACTTTTGGGTTATGGTTGGATGTGGAGTCATTGTTGGGATATTTTTGATTGGTGCTGTTATTAGAGTTGCTTATGGAATTATTAAAAGAGTTTAATTGCTATTTTTGATGTTTTAATAAAGTTTGAGTTTTTGGGAACTTTAAAATTTAGATTCACTGCTGCAGCTGGACCAACTCCTCCTAAACTGGCTCTTTGACTATCTTTTTTGTTAAAGGACTGAAGTTTTGGTATCAAATAGTTTTTATGACACCGTTAGGGTCTAATAGAGCTTCTTGGTATGCGTTTGCATCAATTATACAGTCCAATTCAGGATATTACTAAAGATGTCCATCAAAGTCACTCAAGAGAAGTTAAACCAAGTAGCCAGAACTCGACTGCTGAAACCTTTTCATGAAAAAAAGTCAACGTGGATTGAAGTGACCTAAGAAGCTATTAGTGATGGCTCCTGAAAGCCATTTGAAGTCCAAATAATGAAATTTACTAATGTATCTTGCTTGCATGTTAAATCATATTAATCAAGCATCTAAACTAGCTTATGTCTCTTAACTGACATGAAACTGAACTTCAGTATCATAAAACTAGTTCATATGAATGCATTTAAAGCATAGTAAGTTCTACCAAACTTTTCACATTAAATACTTTTGACTTAAACTTGTCATCTTCTTAGCCTGGCCGTCCTCATCTGGACCAACTCCTCCTTACTAACATCAGCAATTCAGATGGAGTGTTTCTTTAAAAATGTCACCTGGAAGTTATATGATGAAATTCAGAATGGATTCAAAATGATTGTAACAGGAAAGTTTGAAGTAAAGCAACGTGGACTTGAAGTTGACGAACTTAAACGATCTGATCCAGGCAAATATCCATTGCCAGAGAACTTTGATGATCCGTCTGAATTTTCAGTAGCTGCAAAAAATATTTTTTACTTCCCAAAAGGATTAGAAAAATTCATCGCTGGTGTCTTGACTTTCGGAATGACTCATTGTCAATTGAAAGAGATAAAGCAGGAAGACTTGAAAGTTTTTCGGAACTTGACATTATTGAACTTGAGTTTAAATCAAATTCAAGTCCTCGAAAAGGATTTATTTAAATTTAATCCAAAGCTGAAAGGTTTGATGCTTGCCAATAATATTATCAAGTACATCGATGGGAATGTTTTTGATAATTTAATTAAGCTTCAATTGTTGGCTCTGATAGGGAACGACTGCATTACTAAAAATGTGTATAGTGTGGTGGATGTACAAAAGATTATTAAGAAATCCATTAGGAACAATTGTCAAACTCACGATGCACTGCCAAAGACAGAGAAAATCAAAAAGACTGGAACTCAGCGTGGAAAATATTTTTGGATTTGGGTTGGATGTGGAGTTGTTGTTGGGATCTTTGTGATTTGTGCTGTTGCTAGGATTGTTTATGGAATTGTTAAGTCAACTTAAATCTTTAATAAAAAATCGTTTTGCTAGAAAGTCGTAAATCTGATGTGAGTTTCTGGACCAAATCTCCTAGACCCAGGCACGTAACCAGGGGGGGGGGGGGGGGTGGGGATTTGAATGACATATCCCCCGACCTTAGCAGAAATTTCTTCATTTTGCTAGGAGTTTTATGAAAAATCATAAAAATCCCCCCTTCTCTCTGAGTTTTCTATATAATTTTTTTGCCCCCCCCCCTCTTCAAATTCCTGGCTACGCCCCTGCTTAAATCCAAATGAAAGGTTCTAGGTCGACTCAATACATTTTTGCCCAATCCTTGGTTGTTAAGGCTTTCCGTGGTACACTATCCAGTTCTTACATAAATTGAGTGCACCAAGTTTCTCTAGAAGCCAGCCTCCAGTCATCCACAGTTGCTTCACTACTGCAAACGTCACAAAAAAATTTCAATTTTTCAGTTGATTCTGTTTGATTCGATTATGAAAAAAATCTGAATTATTTATCATTTGTGATTTTTTTTTTACTTTTTGACTTCCGTAATGTCATGTTAATTTTTTTGTGCATGACAATCTTGATGCAACTTAATTAATCTAGTTTTTAAAATGTTTCCTGGTCAATAAAAAGCTGATCATTCTCGGAAGTAGTCCATAACAGTCAATATGGACAAGAATTTATTGTAATTATAACAGGCGCGTAGCCAGGAGGGTATAGTCCCCCTCTTAAGCATTTTAGGCCATGCTCTCACTGCAGTTAAAAACGTTTAGGGAAGGGGGGGATGACCCTCCTGGCTACGCGCCTGAATTATAATCATTTTTGGCCATTTTCACTAAAGTCCTCGATTTTGGATTATCCAATTCAGTTTTTTGTCCCACAAATCCCCACCCCCAAGGCCCCCACTCTTTTCCAAGGCGTGATCACTCAGGATTAATTCTGAAAAATCCCAAAAATTCAAAAAAATCCCTGAGCCAATAAACGTAGAAATGTAAAATCCCTTTGAAATCCCGAAATTATTCATCATATGCATCAAGGGGTCGTTCACTTATGACGTCCAAAATTAACGATCATTTTTCAAAAAAGAACAATGGATTTCCTGGAATTTCTATTGTTCTTTTCTTACTGACCCCCCTCCCCCCATGGATGTCATAAGTGAACGGCCCCAAAGGGATTTTACATTTCCATGTTCATTGACTCAGCGATTTTGTAAGGATTTTTGAGATTTTTTTAGATTAATCCTGAGTTTCCACGCCTTGCTGTTTTCCCTATTAACCTCAAAATTTCCAAAATATTCTCATTTAATTATCAATTATTATATTTCAGTTCAATCTTCTTCATCTTACTGTATCCTTTACTAATCCATGCCATTAAAATGACCTGCATGTACGAAAGAACCACAAGAATTGAAAAGGATGTTGGCGAATATGAGCAAATCAGATGCAGCGTGGTTAGAAAATTTGAGGTTAAAACACGTGGAATTGAAATCGATTCAGTGCCTGGAGTGGATTTATGGAAGTTCCCGTATCCATCAAACTTTTCAGATGTTGGTGAACTTCACATATCAACACATCAGGTGCTTTACATACCAACAGGAATTTCAATCTTCTTTCCTAATTTAAAAGACTTGTCAGTCATTAATTGTGGATTGAAGGAACTTAAGCAAAATGACATGAAATCATTTCCAGATTTGAAATTCTTGTTGCTTTTTGGAAACGCTGTTGAAGTTTTAGAAAAAGATTTATTTAAATTTAACCCCAAGTTGGTCATCATAGACATGAATATGAACAATCTGAAGCACATCGATGCACACGTCTTTGATCATCTAAATGGACTTGGTTCATTGAATTTTGCTGGAAATTTGTGCATCACACTCAGCATGACAGGACCTGAAGGTGTTAAAGAGGTCATTGATGAAATTAGGAAGCGATGTCAGAATTTTGGGGCACTCGGCGGCAAGAAGAAAATTGTGATTGAAGGAAAGCAACGAGGAAAATATTTCTGGATATTTGTTGGATGTGGAATCATTACTGGAATATTCTCAATTTGTGCATTTGCTAGAATAGCTTTTGGGATTGTTAAAGGCTGTGGTTCTCCTTGAAATAGAGTTTGATTTGAAGGGTGGCGATTCACTGATGTGCATTTGTAATACAATAAAGGGATTAGAGTCTTAAATGGGCGGTCTGAAAGTCCAGAACTATTTTGGGCATCATAAAAATACTTTCATTGTCAAAAGTTCAACCTTATCAACGATTTGTAAAAGTTTATCGTGATTTGCAGATTTTTTTTTTCATATTTGTCATGCTTCGTGTTAAGGAACTTGTGTTTTTGAATAGTAGACATGCCAAACTAGTGTCGTTTATGAATAAAAACTTAGCTACGAAATTTAATATTTTTGAATTTTAATTGCATTTTATTCATCAAGGCAGCATGAAGGATAATCTTTGGTAATATTTAATTAAGTATTAATTCACCACTGCCTGCTCTGTATGTCTGTATGTCTGTATGTCTTTTTGTCTGTATGTATTTTTGTCTGTATGTCTGTATGTCTGTGTAACTTTAATTCAGTATATCTGTCCAAAGGTTGGGGTGTACCTAGGAATTTGAAGCAGAGTGATGGGGAAGGGGGATATTTGAACGGAAAAATTTAGAGAAGGCAAGCGGATTTTTTCTAAAAAAAACTCTTGGCAAATTAAAGTAACTTCTCTTGACAAAGGGGGATTTGTTCCTAAAATCCCCCTTCCTGGCTAAGCGCCTCTTTGGCCTACGTCCTTAAAGTACTTCTCTCCAGTCCCCTAACACCCCCAACGATTAAATTAGTAAAAAAATATTTATTTCATCTCTTTCAAGTCGTTTGCTCTTTATCAACTCCTGCTTACTCACATCAGCATTAATAATGCAATGTGAATATGAAGAAATGGTTTGGAGATTAGGTAATAAAACAACAAAAGGATATAGATGCTACGGAGAGGGCAAAATAGAAATAAAAGAACGTGGATTTATTATCGATGGAATTAGACGTAAAGATCCAGAAGCATATCCACAACCTGAAAACTTTGCTGATGCATCGGAATTACAATTAATTGCAAAAGACATTTTGTATTTTCCAAAAGGATTGCAGAAGTTCTTTCAGCATTTGCTCAACCTTGAATTGACGCTGTCGAAATTGAAGGAAATCAAGCAAGAGGACTTAAAAGTCTTTCCTGATTTACAAGCACTAAACTTAAACTTTAATTTCATTGAAGTTCTTGAAAAAGATTTATTCAAGTTTAATCCAAAACTTAGAACTATTCGAATGCACAGCAATTCCATCAACTTTATTGACCAAAACATTGTTGATGATCTGAAAGTCTTGAGTGTTTTTATACTTGGCTCGAATACTTGCATCAACTTTAGTGCTAAGAACAGAGCATCGGTCGTGAATTTTCTTACAGTAAAAATCAAGAATAATTGTCTCAATTATGGCGAATTAGAAATTACAAAAAAAGTTGAAAAAACTGGAACGCAGCATGGCAAATATTTTTGGGTTTTGGTGGGATGTGGAGTGATTGTTGGGGTGTTCTTGATGTTTGCTGTTTTGAGGACTGTTTACTTGATTCTTAAGAAAAATTAAATTGATTTTCGGGTTTTGGTTCTTGGTTCTTGGTTCTTGGTTCTTGGTCCTTGGTTCTTGGTTCTTGGTTCTTTGTTCTTGGTTCTTGGTTCTTGGTTCTTGGTTCTTGGTTCTTGGTTTTTGGTTTTTGCTTCTTGGTTCTTGGTTCTTGGTTCTTGGTTCTTGGTTCTTGGTTCTTGGTTCTTGGTTCTTGGTTCTTGGTTCTTGGTTCTTGGTTCTTGGTTCTTGGTTCTTGGTTCTTGGTTCTTGGTTCTTGGTTTTTGGTTCTTGGTTCTTGGTTCTCGGTTCTTGGTTCTTGGTTCTTGGTTCTTGGTTTTTGGTTTTTGCTTCTTGGTTCTTGGTTCTTGGTTCTTGGTTCTTGGTTCTTGGTTTTTGGTTCTTGGTTCTTGGTTCTTGGTTCTTGGTTCTTGGTTCTTGGTTCTTGGTTCTTGGTTCTTGGTTCTTGGTTCTTGGTTCTTGGTTCTTGGTTCTTGGTTCTTGGTTCTTGATTCTTGGTTCTTGGTTCTTGGTTCTTCGTTCTTGTGTCAACTTTTTGTTATCTTGTCCTTGAGTATCTTCGAGATGATGGGACCTGATAGGCTCTAGAGGATCCATTGTTGCGTTATCAAATGTAAGCTTTTCATTTGAACTACTTTTAATAAAGAAAGCTTTTTCAAATTAATATTAAATTTCAAATTTCTTCTAGAATTTGAGACAAAAAAATTGACAAAATTTGAACTTAAAATTGTTCGAGAACGTTGCATGTTTAGCTGAAAATTGCATGCTTAGCTGAACGATCAGAATTTACAACGTCATATTTCGATTTCTCGATCTTTCTGGGTCAAACTTTACTCAAATTGTTGCTAAATCAAGCACAATGCAACACGTTTTGATGAATTTTCTCACAATTTTGTAAGTTTTTTCAATTGGATATGCTTTTGAGGCTCCCAAAATCTATTTTGGTTAATTATTTTAAGGTTCACAGCACTCAAATGTGCTTCAGCACTAGTAATTACTTGCCATCATCAGCATTTTGTGTACACAGTCAATGAAACTCAATCGTTTTCCGGTCACATGTGTCTTGTGATGAATAAAATTGAGACTAAATCTCGCGGAACTGAAATAACAAAAGTTGAAATTGGAAAAACTTCAGAATTTCTTAAACACAGTTTTTTAAATGCTTTGAAGAACATTTCGGAATTTAAAGGATTTGATGTACTTGACAGTTCATTGCCATACCTTCCAACTGGAATTGACAAATTTTTTCCAAATTTAGTTGATTTTGCTGTCATAAGTTGTGGATTGAAGGAGATTAAACAGTCAGACTTGAAAGGATTTCCTAATTTACTGCAATTGTCACTTAAATATAATGCTTTGGAAGTGCTCGAAAAAGATTTATTCAAATTTAATTCTAAGCTTAAAAGGATATATCTTGAACTTAATTTAATTAAAGAAATTGATGGAAATTTATTTGATAATTTGATGAACTTACGATATTTGAGTTTAGAAGGCAATGAATGCATATCAAGCACTAGCTTTTTCAGAAAGGATGTCGAGAAGCAAATCCAAGTGATTAGAGAAAAATGCACTAAAACAGAAGCAGTAATAGAACCAAAAGATCTTAATCACAATAATGAGAAAAAGCAAGAAAATGATTTTTTGATTTTTGTTGGATGTGGAGTTGTTTTGGGCACCATAGGAGTTGCTTTTGTTCTAAAATTAGTTTTGATTGTTAAAATTAAATTGAGGAATTAAAATAAATTAAATATGTGAATGTTGAATGTTGGCTAGAGCTTTAATATGCTCGAAAAATCAGCCTTGTTGCTCCTGAACTTTTAAGTTTAAAAATAACAAAAAAATCCAAAATTTATGTTAAAAAAATTCCTTAAGGGGCCGTTCACTTATGACGTCCAGGGGGGGGGGGGGGGTCAGCAAGAAAAGAATATTTGAAATTCCTGGAAATCCATTGTTCTTTTTTGAAAAATGGCCGTTAATTTCGGTCGTCATAAGTGAACGGCCCCTTATTAGAGCTGTCGTAAAATCCTAGATCCCTCCCCCCTCCCCCCCTCCTTAAATCTCGGACGTCATTTGTGACAAATCCTAATCTAAAATCGCAAATTTATGTACTTTTATAAAAAAATGTAATTCAACAGCACTTTTAGGTGCATGACCCGATTTAGTAAGTTCCGCTTCAACTTCAAATGAATAATTTAGATTTTAATTTTTTTTATGCAATTTTTATCATGATTTTATGGAACACAACTTTCAAAAAGGCGATATTTCCTGAATATGAATAATAAATTGACAGGTTCTCTTTAGTTTCTAATATATTTCACTGAATCCAGTATGAAGAATATTGTTCTTAGGTATTTATTGTCATTTGTTGTCTTCAAATTATTAAAACTTTGAATATTTATAGCTTTTTACTGATCTTAGCCGTGTCATCGATGACTTTATCCCACAAAATTATTGGCACATGTTATAAAGACAAGAACAGCCTTCGTAACTCACAATATTTTACACTAGAATGTTCTGCAAGCAACTCAATTAACATCTATTCTCGGAATGAAAATATCACATCAGCTGAAGCTTATATTGCCCCGAACGACATTAAAGAATTAAAAAAGAAACTCGTCAGTTTCGATAAAGTTGACGGATTTAAATTTGTAATGAATGAAATTCGTTATTTCCCGAAAGGAATCGAAAGATTTTTCACAAATCTAGTTGCATTGACAGTCGAGTACAGTAATTTGCAGGAAATCAAGCAAGTTGATCTAAAACCATTCCCAAAACTGATATTTTTGAACCTCAGCGTGAATATGCTTAAAATTATTGAAAAAGATTTATTTAAATTTAATCCATTGCTGCAAGCTATTGACTTGACTAATAACATTATTAAGGAAATTGACGGGAATGTCTTTGAAGGCTTGAATAGCTTAAATAGTCTGAAGATTAGTATGAATCTTTGTGTTCAGGTCAACGCTGTTGGAAGGAAAAATGTTGAAAATTTCATTAAGGAACTGAAAATTTTTTGCAAGAAAAAGGAACAAAAATTCATTTTGGACGAGAAAAAAGGCACAAAATTTAATTGGAGAAAATATTTTTGGATTATTTTGATTTCTGGAACCTCGGCTGTGGTTTTTTTGATTTATGGACTTTTTAAAATATTAATGACTGTTAAAGTCGCACCTAAAAATGAAAAGTTAAGCGTTTGTGATCCTCAAAGTCAACAGGAACTGAAAAATAATGTTTGGATCTAATCATTTTTTCGAATATTTAATCAAAAATCAATAAAAATAAACTTAATCCTTGAAAAAAAAAAATCATTTTATTCAAACTTGATCTAAATCCAACACAGAATGCAAATACACAAAGAAGCACCGGATGTATCAGGATATGCTGAAGAGCAAACATTCAAGAGCCATCGAGATTTGAAAATGAAAATAAAATATTTGAACAGAAGAAAAAAGATTGAGTCGAGGAAAAAAGTTGCATATTTTAGCAAGGCATGAACGAGGAGCTTGACAAAAGAAATAAAGACGAGGGAAAAATCCAATTTTGTTTGCAGAAAATGGAAAAAAAAGAATTGAAATTTAAAAATTTAAATTGAAAAACAAATGAAAACAAAACATTTGAGGATGTTGGGGTGGTGAAGAGGATGAATAATGGAAACAGGTGTACAATTTTAATGACAATAGACAAGAGATTTGAGGATTTAGATAGACATTTGAGATTCTCAAGGGTGTGAAGCTGAGAATTTTGAATCTTAGGGGTGGCAATCTGAGAATTTAGAGTTTCTGGGGTGTCAAACTAAGAATTTGGAGTTTCTGGGGTGTCAAACTAAGAATTTGGAGTTTCAGGGATGGCAAACTGAGAATTTAGAGTTTCTAGGGTGTTAAACTACGAATTTAAAGTTTCTGGAGTGTTAAACTAAGAATTTGGAATTTCTGGGGTGTCAAACTAAGAATTTGGAATTTCTGGGGTGCTAAAATAAGAATTTGGAGTTTCTGGGGTGTAAAACTAAGAATTTGGAGTTTCTGGGGTGGCAAACTGAGAATTTAGAGTTTCTAGGGTGTTAAACTACGAATTTGAAATTTCTGGGGTGCTAAAATAAGAATTTGGAGTTTCTGTGGTGTCAAACTATGAATTTGGAGTTTCTGGGGTGCTAAACTATGAATTTGGAGTTGTTGGGGTGTCAAACTACGAATTTAGAGTTTCTGGGGTGTCAAACTACGAATTTAGAGTTTCTAGGGTGGCAAACTGAGAATTTAGAGTTTCTAGGGTGTTAAACTACGAATTTGGAATTTCTGGGGTGCTAAAATAAGAATTTGGAGTTTCTGTGGTGTCAAACTATGAATTTAGAGTTTCTGGGGTGCTAAACTATGAATTTGGAATTTTTGATGTGTCGAAATAAGAATTTGGGTTTCTGTGTTGCTTAACTATGAATTTGGAGTTTCTGGGGTGTCAAACTACGAATTTAGAGTTTCTAGGGTGGCAAACTGAGAATTTAGAGTTTCTGGGGTGTTAAACTACGAAATTAGAGTTTCAGGGGCGTCAAACTAAGAATTTATAGATTTTAGGGTGTCAGCTTCAAATGCTAAGGTGTGAAACTATGATCAACATCAACAAAACACCAAAGACTACCTCCACATTATTTATTTTCTGTTTTCGTAGTATCCAATTTTATTTATATACCTAATTGATTATCTTGAAATGTACATTTCATCCAATTAACACCATAGTCAGCATTCGCGTGTTCAACATTTTCCCACCTTCACAGAATCAATTAGATCCAGTTCTGTTACATATTGGAAGTCATCTTTAGAACGAATTCAGTCTAAATATCACCTTTAACCTCTGTCAACGTCTGCACCTCATCTCCAATCCAAAATCTGAACACATATTTCAGAACAGTAAACAAAATTTACATTCCATCTAGAATATCTCGACGTATCCCGCTGATGTTTGACACCTGCAATGCACACAACCGTGATTCACTTGATGTAAAAAAAAGTTTTTTTTATATCCTCATGCTAATCCAATTAAGCTGCATGTTTGCATATCTCGGATCACGATTTTTTTTTTATGTGAGTACTGATTTTTTTCGTTCCATATCCAAACTTGTTTATTTTCACTCGCTGACATTTTATTGTTTACACAACGTGTGCTGCTGCTTTATTTATCAAAAAATATTGATAGCAAATCAATCACACAGGTGGTGTTCTATTGATTTTAAGGTTGTAGACGGAGAGGATTGTGATGGAAAATTGCGATGTTATGGAAAGGATAGAGGGTGTCAAATTTGATGCGGGATATTAATGAATAAGTTTTAGATGGGGAGCATTTGGATTAAATATTGAAAAATTCAATTATTGGTTAAAAAATATGTGAACGTAATATTCAGGGGAGACAGTAAACTGGTTCTATGAATGTGACGCATGAATTTTCTGAAAAACAATCAGTTGGTGCCAAAAGTCGTGCAAATCGTACGATTTTGGTCATTTTTGTTATATAAGTGTCAAAAGTCGTGTGTGACGTGCTGTTTTATCCATATTTCTATTTTTGGTGCCGAGAATGGTGTCAAATTACATCTAAACGCTCCAATAATCATCCTTTCTTAGTATCATGTCATCAAATCAATTATAATCTGATTTACACTCTTAATTAGAGGATTAAATCCTTCCATAACTCAAAAATAGATTGAAAGAATTTTCTACGGCTTCCTCTAGTTCTACTACGTTCTACTCCTTCTGCGAACTTAATACCTCAAAGCAATTCGTTATGCAATTAAGTATTAAATTTCATAGGCTCAAAATCAAAGTAATGAAATTAAAAGGAATTATTTAGTTGCTATGATTATATTTGTACTTACTTCAAACCAAGGGGAGAACAATATGATGGGAAATAGTTTTAAACATAGATTAAAGATTTAAACACACCAAGTCTTTTCAGAATTCCCTTCCAAATTATGTTCGGTTGGAATAAGTGAAAAAATTGTGGAAAAATTCAGTTCAAAATTTTTCCTCATCATGTTGTTTTCCCCCTTGATCTCACATAAAATGCCTTTAATTAGAATAATTTTTCATTCGAATTGAAGATTAAATGTGATTAAAATAGAATTGCGAAAATTCAATCAGAATCCATGGAGATGATAAATAATGAGATTTTGATTGCTAATTTTAAACATCTGACGAATTTTTTGGAGAACTGTGTCAAATTTTGAGGTTATTTTTCTTGTTGATTATAAATTTACTAGTTGATGGTAGTATTGAGTGGCTCAAAAGTGGTGTAATGTGCACGGTTTTGGTGTTGATTGATAATTGTGTGTCGAAAGTGGTGAGTTTTACATGGTTTTGGTTAATAATCCATCTATGTCAGTGGTGACCAACCTTTTCTATGCCAAGGCACATCTTTATGATAAGCTATGACTGAAACCGCACACGACATACAGTTCGTGAAATTTCCTGACTTTTCCGCGTCACATGAGTTGGCTATCAAATATTCTATGACAGTGGTTCTCAAACTGTGAGTCGCGGCACCTTTATTTTTCATGTGTTATGACTTCAAGAAAGTATATTTAAGAAAAATGTGCCGTGGACCAAAAAAGTTTGAGAAACACTGATCAATGTCAAAAGTGGTGTGATCTGTACCATTTTAGCTGCACAAGCAGCAACCAATACAACACACGTGCATCATTACTCTTCTTTTTTGTTTACCAAGAATCTTCAGAAATTACCTCAAAAAATGCTTCAATACATTTCATGCATCACATCTCAATCAGTTCTTAAATGCCATAAAGAATTCTAAACAAATCAGACCTTCCAAGAAGTTTCGATACGGTTCAAAAGTGATGATTTTGGTGCATCCTTTCGCATGTCGATTTAATTCTTATTATTGGACATTTGAATAAGGTCAAGATGAAAAGGTAGACATTAGAAATAAGTGGATGTTCACACGTGGAAGATTCTTTCTTGGATGTTCTTGATTCTCCTGGATGTTGATTAGGTGCTATGATGTCAAAAGTGGTATGTTACGTGCTATTTTGTGGTTAAGAAGGTCGTGTGGTGTCAAAAGTGGTGATTTAAGTACGAAAAATTCAAATACTTACCAAAATTGTGTTCAAAGTCGTATTAAGCGCACGATTTCTTCATTTGAATGTATAAGATCACCATAGTCGTGCACAACTCAAGACTTTTGATGCTCTTAAGCACAAAGTCATCAAAGTGGTACTCAGCACACGACTTTTGATACTCAAGAGTACAAAATCACCAAAATGGTGCATTGAACATGACTTTTGACACTCTAGAGTCACCAAAGTCGTGCACAACACACGACTTTAGATACTCCAAAGCACAAAGTCACCAAAATGGTGCACAGTACACGACTTTTGACACTCCAGAGTACAAAATCAGGTTTACATAACCCGAAAAGTTCCACATCCATCCCCAATCATTGACATTAAGCTTCCCAACCCTACCAATCTCAATAAATTTTCCAAAATCAATCTCATTTTATAGCATAAAATTGTTTCTCGATAATCCCTACCAAAAAGATTCTTCTTATATCCTCCAAAAGAACCTCCTTTAATACGAAGAATCTGCCAACGCAACAAACACATTTTCAGTGCCTTCAGAGCTTCTTATTTACAGCTAAACTTCCGCATAAAAATTAGGGTGGAGGGAAAGTCATAACAATAAATTCACAGATTTTCTAAATTTTTCTCTCTTTTCTTATTTTGTTGTGCGAAGAAGAATTGAAAGCAATTTTCTGGAAAGAATAAGAAAATCGAAGCATTTTGTCAAATGACGCTGAAATGTAAATCGACTCCAATCACATTTTTGATGACTTTAATGATGCCAATCATTGATAATGATTGTTATCGTGGAAAAATTCAATTATGGAAGGGTGGAAAAGTATGTAAATGCAGGTATTATGCGGCAGATTGATTAGAATCAGTTATATAAGTGGATTAGAGGTGATTTATGGCACTCGTTTTGGTATGGTTGACAAAAGTCGTGTGCAACACACCATTTTAGTGCCTTTTCTTGGCTGTGTGTGTCTAAAATCGCACACGGGACACGATTTTGAGGCAAAGTTAATAAACGATTGTCAAAAGTGGTGCGCATTATACGATTTTGTATAATATAGATTATTGCTCAAAAGTCGTGTGCAATGCACCATTTTGGTATAGATTTTTATGGGTAGTGACGGTTCTCAGCTACATTTAATAGATAAGTGTCAAAAGTGGTGCGCATCGTACGATTTTGGTAAATCCTGAGTAAAACTAGTCAATGTTGTAACAAAGCGTCAATAGTGGTGCGCATCGTACGATTCTGGAAAGTTCTGATTAAAAATAGTCCACTTACAAGAAAGTGTCAAAAGTCGTGCGCATCGCACGATTTAGGTAAGTACTGATTAGAAATAGTCGAATTTGTAAGAACGTGTCGAAGGTGGTGCGCATCGTACGCTTTTGGTAAATCTTGAGTAAAACTAGTCTATTTTTAAGAAAGTGTCAAAAGTCGTGCAAATCGTACAATTTTGTGAATAAAGAGTCTAAAACCTTAAATAACAAGACCCTATTGAGGTCAAAAAGTTGGCACATAGTCGCACACAACGCACCACTTTGAACAATAATCAAAACTAAAATCTTAAAATGGCGAGCAGCATACAGTGTCCATAAATCCCTACACGAACAATCCATTTTCAGTATGGAAAATTTCAGCAAAATGTTAAAGCTTTTGGGCATTAAAGAAACATGAGAAGCTTAAATGGAGCGGCAAAAAGAAGGCAAGAAGAAGAAGATGATGAAAATGGGAAAAATGCGAAGGAAATGGATGAAAACATCTTTCAGCAATTTTCAATTTTCTTTTTTTTGTGCCTTCCTCGTATTGAGATGTGGAACAAGAAATTTATGAATCTCAGTTGCAATTTCAATTTTCAGCATAAAACCAAAGCCAGGCAACAGCCGTAGATATAAACTGAAAGCATGTCGGTGTATGACATTCAATCTTCTATCCCCGTGTCTTTTCAATTCTACAACGATTTTCACGTGCCTTTGCGGATTATCATTTTTTTATGACTGGAAAGATGAGTTTTTTGGGGAAGGCAATAAAGTTGAATCTGTGTCAAGGAATTTTTAAGGTATGAAGTGTCATTATAAATCATAAATGGTGGATGTTTTTAGGTTATGAAGGGTGCGTAAGACGTGATGACATTATTTGAGGATGTTATCAGCTGGAATTGAGAATAAGTGCTTGAATATGGAGTGAGTGAGTCAAAACTAATCAGCTTATGGAGATTCTGTAACAAAAGTCGTACATGGCACACGATTTTAGACCATTTTGAGCGAAAAGTTCCCAAAGTGGTACAAAACACATGACTATTGACACAATTTAACAAAGTGTCACCAAAACTGTGTCCAATGCACCACTTTTGACAAAAAATTTATAGGTGTCATCAAAACTGCATGCAACGCACCACTTTTGACTCTATTTTCACAATTTGTCACCAAAATGGTGCGCTGCACACGACTTTTGACATCTTGAACCAAACAATTACTCACAAATGTCAAATAAACCCCAAAAATAGCGCTCTGCTTGCGACTTTAAACAATTTTCATGGTAAAATCTAACCCATTCAGCATGCAGCACCAGACAAATATCCATAAACTTTTCTAGTTCCATCACAAAAGCACTAAAAAAATCTTTTTATTCCACAATAATTCTTCAATAAAAAAGAAGTCAAAAAAAGCTCATTTTCTCACAATATAAAGTTACAAGAGTCGCAGTGTGCCATGGAAAGAAGATGGAAGACGCAGCAGCACAAATGTGAGAGGCGAAATGGATGATAATAAATTTACTAAGATGTAAAAATTGTCGCTTCTTCGTCAGTTTCGTGCTTCGAGCTTCTTATTTGAAGATAAATTACCAGTCATTTGATATTTTCGTCTTCGAGACTTGCTTCTTGTCTTATAGCTTATAAAAGGAGAACTTTACGTGAGACAACAATGTAAACAAGTCTAATGAGTCTCATGTTTTTCATGCTGTCCTTGATGTTCTGTTGAAAGCTTTTGTTTTTTGAGGAACGAGAATGGAAATTTAAACTTTTTTTTTATTTTTTGAGTTAATTGAAAATGAAATTTAATGCTTTTAGGTTGTGCCTGTTTAACGAGGACTGAATGGATCTTATGTGACCTTTTAAGATGGAGCATTTGGGTTGGACGTTAGAGTATGTCTCACACAGAAGTGCTATATTGTTGCTTGGTGGATACTAGCCGTGTATACGTACATACGGTTTTGGTAAAACTTTGTTAATTTGTGTCAAAAGTGGTGCACTGTATACAGTTTTGGTGACACTTAATCTATTTGTGTCAAAAATGGTGTGCTGTATACAGTTTTGGTGACACTTATATAAACTGTGTCAAAAGTAGTGCGTTGCACACGGCTCAAGTAAAATTTATTTAAAAAAGTCTTTAAATGTCAACAAATTCACAAATTCCATCCACACTGCAATGCAAAAAATTGAGCATCACATTCCAGCACAAGCAGCACAAGTCGCAAGCAGCACAGAAAAAAATTCAATTTCACGGCATGCTGAGAAAGGAAGCAAAAAAAGCATATTCCCGTGAGAATTTTTCTGGGAATTTTTTTTCTCCATTTTTCATTCCGTTTAAATGAACATTGTGGAATGTGGCTTGCCTGTTGGCATCGCCGCCTGTCAATTCTCCTTCATTTTAAATATTTCAGTCTGCTGTCTTGCCATTTTAAAGGATTTTTTTAAAGAATCATTCTTCATTTTTTTTATGGTTTTTTGTGCTGCTGGAAATGAAAACTTTTCTCATCTTGATTGTCAGCTGACATGTTTTTTTTGGTTGGGGTCGAGTTTGTGATGTTCTGTGTAGGCGCTTTCAGCATGAGAAATGACGGTAAATTGCTGTGTAAAATTTATATTGTTGAGTGAATTTTCAAGTGGGTGAGGTTTGTATAATTAAGGATTCCTTGAATTTTAAGCGTAAAAGCTACAAAGGTTGGAATAAATTTTGGATCTATTGCATGGCCTTGATGTTAAAAGGTTGGCGATTGTGATGCGTAGATCATGATTTGAGATATTTATTTTGTTTGGTACTTAACTTAACCATAACAGTACTTGGAGCACTACTTTTGATACTTATTGTCATAGTTGAACTAAAACCGTACGCAGCTCACTACTTTTGACATTATTTCCAACAATTGCCCCAAACCGTACGACTTTCTGCACTTAAAACTTGAACTTATCTTATAAACCAGTGATGGTCAACGCGTGTGCTACGACCCACTATTGTGCAACGGGAAAATAATTCAAGAAATCAAACGATTTTTGTTTTATACAGTTTTGTTCATGGCTTAGCATCAAGGGTGCCGTGGCACAAAAAAGGTTGGTCACCACTGCACTAAACCATTGATGCTCAACTCACGAGCCATTTCCATGTTCGATTTTGGTCATAACTTACGACCAAAATGTATCAATACCCAAAAAGGTTATCCACCACTGCCTAAGTCAATTCCAAAAGCTAATCGCTTACCTCAAAAAGCTTTACACACCAAAACAGACTCTTCAAATAGACACGACTTTATAACAGCTCGTAAAAGTGAGCAGCACAACACGCAAAAAAACAAACAGTAAACGTGGTAAAATTGGCTTAATTTTGACGGTAATTGACAGCCACTTGAGAATTATGTTTTTTACTGCTTGCTGTTTGCAGAACTGACACGAAACAAAAATTATTGAAAGTTTCTGACACATTCGCATCATCTTTTAAAAATTAATCAATCACGATGACAACGCGGCATTGCGTCATGATGTATTGCGGTGCTGTTTGTGCTGCTGAAACATGATTTTGACCCAAAAAAAGGGATCTTGACCATGAAGGAAAAGGACTGAATATTAATTTTTCAAAAATATTACAATTGAATGAGATGGACGGAGGATTTGAAGCAAGTAAGAAAGTAACTTTGATGTCTGTAGTTGTGGAGTGTATAGTCGTACGCTTTACACCACTTTAATGATAATGTGTCAATAGTGGTAGGATTCACACCACTATTGGTTACCATAATGCTAATGTGCCAATAGTAGTACGCTTTACACCACTTTAATGCTAATGTGTCAATAGTCGTACGCTTTACACCACTTTTAGTCACTTTAATGCTAATGTGTCAATAGTCGTACGCTCTACACCACTTTTGGTCACTTTAATGCTAATGTGTCAATATTCGTACGCTTTACACCACTTTTGGTCACTTTAATGCTAATGTGGCAATAGTCGTACGCTTTACACCACTTTTGGTCACTTTAATGCTAATGTGTCAATAGTCGTACGCTTTACACAACTTTTTGTCACTATAAGTATGTTTGTCATACTTTTCAAACATCCAGGAAGTCCAAGCAGTCAAAAGTACAAGAAACCATAAAAATAATTTCCACAAAAAGCTGCTAAAACCCTCAAAAAATAAAAAAGCTAACCGCAGATGCAGACTTGTACTAACGAGCAAGCCTTTTTCTGTCTTGTGGCTTCAAATAAACTTTTTATTCTTCTTAATTCGTTGACATAGCGAGAGTCTCTTCTATTTTCATCGTCATCAACAGCACTCGAGTAAAGAGTCAAGGATTGTCGAAGTCCTTTTTCTTTGTCCCTCGAGGGTATGGAAAGAAATTTGAAATTGATATTTTTTCTCGTCTTTTTTAATTACTTTAAGGAAAAAGGTAGAAATTTTCATTATTGAGTGAAATTTGAGACTTTTTGGGGGGGGGGGGGGGGGGGTTGGTTGATGAAAAATTAATTTGGAGGTTAAAGTAGAGGTTATTGTGGGTTTTCGTGTGAGGATTTGGGATGCTGGTTAAAGGGTTGCAACTAGACATTAGTAGATGGGGCAACTGAAGGGGAGGGGGAGGGGGAGGGGGAGGGGGGAGGGGGGTATAAAACGTGACACATTAAATTATGAACTGAAAATTATGAATTTTTTTATTTTGGTTTCTACACTTTTTACATATTGACATTTAGTTCCAACAGCACATCTATTCCACTCCTGACCTTACATCGATGTCATCCTTTTGACTATCATCTGTGACTCTGTCCAACTTTTTTTCTAATATTTCTTCCAGCTGCTTCATCAACTGCTTTTCAACTTCCTTCATCTTTTCATTCAGATTAATTGCAATCATGTGACGAGTGCTGGCTAAATTTTGCTCAATTTTCTGGAATCTTTCTTCAGTTTTGAGTGCAAATTTGATGAATTGATTTTGACAGATTTTACAGGAATTGGGATTGTCATCTAGTTCTTTAGAGTTGTCAGTCAGGTCATTTAATTGTATATCTGAAGATTTTGTCTTACTTTTTTGTTGCTCTGTCTTGCTGACTTCTATAATTTTGAGGTTTTGAAGCTTTACATTCAATGGACGGTATTTCATAAATTTAGAATTATTAAAATTCACCTCAAAATATTCAAGCTGTGCTAAGAGCTTATCAGGATTTGCCTCATCTGCTATTTCATTTAGTCTATCATTAAGCAGTATGAATTCCATAGAAACACAATTTTTCTGAATAACATCAATAATATCCTTGACAGCATCCTTAGAATCGACAGCATCTTGTCCTATACAAGGAACATTCAGACCACGAAAGTACCTCAACTTGTCCAGTTCATTCAGCGCACTTGAATCAATATGAATAATATTTTTCTCATTCAGTCCAATAAACTCTAGATTTTTATTATAGTCAAATATTCCATCCTCAATAACTTCAATGGCATTGCCACTCAAGTAGATGTAAACCAAATTCGGAAAAACTTTCAAGTCTGACTGATGAATTTCCTTCAATCCACAAATGTAAATGTAAATTGCTTTGATATTTTTGAAGAATTTATCGAATCCAGTTGGAAAATAATGAATAGTTTTGCTGCTTGCCCAGATCCCAAGTACATCATTGCTGGTTCTTGATCCTACATGATACTCATTGATTGATGTGACTTCATTTAAGTTTTTAGATGAAATGTTCGGATTATTGTTGACTCTACAATCGTAGATTCTCTCAATAACTGTGTAGCTGTTTACTTGATAATTGCATTCAATGTCAATTGATGTCAATGAGTTTATAAACATGAGGATGATGTTGGAAGTGATAAGCCTGGAAGTATGTAAGTAATTTAAATAAAATATCAACAAAGAGATTGATGAATGGCAAGGGCTGGTTCTTAAGGCTGCACTAGGTCCGAAAACTCATATTTAAAGCTATGGTCTTGAGAATAGCTTCAGTTACCGGTCTCCGAGGAAGAGTGAATGACACTTAGGGATTATAAAAGACACTAGGGACCAAGACTTAGATTGTTGTGCCATTGATACGCCTCTGGCTATCAAATTTGTCCACGATATAGATGTTCCTTAGCAGTTTAAAGATCTGAACTTACAAATGATTTTTCCACATTGTTTAATACTTTTTAAACTGAACTGCACTTTCAATTCGCTGCACTGTGAATACACAAATGCCACTGAAAATGCATCAATTTTAAAGATTCTGTGTTCTCACAAAATCATAGCTTCTTTCTCTCTTCCCAAAAAATCCTCTCAATCCTCAACTCATTAAGTCATTAAAATTGCAATGTTGAATATTTCCAAGAATAAGTGCATGTAATTAAGAAAATTACTAAAAATTCATATCCAGCTTTCTTTCAACTTCATTTCACTTGAATTTTGTGTCACTTAATGCAGCATAATACATCTTAACAGCATTTAATGTCAATGAATGTAATGAATTATAATTAAGGATCACATTGGCTGAAGAATGGATGAATGAATGAGCGAATGCGGTTTGTTTATTGTTAAGCTGCATTTAAAGGAATTAATTATATGCAAAGCTCTTAGTAGATGGCATTGAAATGGATTTAAATGTGGTTGGGATGGTAGTTCTGGAAAAAGAGATTTAAATAGTTATAGAATGCATTTTTTTGGCGGGAACATTGAGCTAACTTGACTTTTTTACTATGCGACTTGAAAGTTGCGAACTTACTTGACCTTTTCAACTATACAACTTGAAGTGTACAAACTTACTTGACTTTTTAGACTATTCAACTTGAAAGTCTTAAACTTACTTGGCTTTCTTGAGTATCCGACTTGAAACTTGTGAACTTAGTTGACTTTTTTGAATATCCAACTTAAAATTTGCAAATTTACTAGATTTTTCGATTATCCGATTTGAAATTGGCAAACTTACTTGACTTTTTTGATTATCTGACTTAAAAGCTGCAAACTTACTTGACATTTTCGACAATTCAACTTTAAAGCTATAAACTTACTTGACTTTTTAGACTATTCAACTTGAAAGTCTTAAACTTACTTGGCTTTCTTGAGTATCCGACTTGAAACTTGTGAACTTAGTTGACTTTTTTCATATATCCAACTTGAAAGCTGCAAACTTACTTGGCCTTTTCGATAATTCAACTTGAAAGTTGTAAACTTACTTGACTTTTTCAAACATCCAACTTGAAAGTCTTAAACTTACTTGGCTTTCTTGAATATCCGACCCGAAACTTGTGAACTTACTTGACTTTTTCAAATATCCAACTTGAAAGCTACAAACTTACTTGACTTTTTCGATTATCCGACTTTAAATTAGGTTCACAAATTGACACTTGACTTTTTAGAATATCCAACTTGAAAGTCTTAAACTCACTTGACTTTTTTGACTGTTCAACCTTAATGCAAAAAAAAATGAATATCATTTAACATCTCAGGCATCACATCTGCATACTCTCAAATCTTCTCTTTAAAATTTGTCATTCATTTCTTATCATAACCTCAAAAAATGTCAAACTTTATCGACTATCACACATCATTGTGCCACAATTCACATTCTATTATCAAAATTCCAACAGATAATTTGTCTCCAATGATCTGAAAAATTTCCAATTTTGTGCCAAATTTTTCTTATTCTTTCCTCTTTTTTGCCATTCTATTTTTATTTCCGACTCTTTTTCTTCTTTATCTTCATCAATTCCACAATATCATTATTTCCTCCATTTTTCAACATTATCTACCTCACATATATCCATCTCAATTATTTTCAAATACTGATCAATGCACATGAGAGAATTGTGGTAAAGAAATGGAGCAGACTGGGTGGGAGGAAGCGACGGAGATGAAAAGGCACAGAATTTTTTTTCTTCTCTTTTCAATCGGATTTTGATGCCACAGAAACAAATTTCCGGTGAATTTTATTCCATTCGATTCCTGATGTTTGAGAGTATTTAAGGGAATTCAATGACATAGCAACGGAAGAAGCTGGTTCGGGAGGAAGGAGGATTGAATTTCAGAGGAAAAGAGTAATGAATTAAAATATGTCAATCCTTAGCTTTACTTGCCATAATGAGACGTGTTATTAGTTTGATTACATGTGCTCTAATTATAGGATTTGATGAACTGTGACTTGATTTTAATTGGAATAGTTTCTGAAGTCATGTGGTTAAGCTGAAGCTTATCATGTCTTTCTTGTCACAACATCGAGTTTATAATCCGCCATTTTGTTTTTCCAAAAAAAAATCAAAAATATTTCTTAAACCATAAAACCGCGCTCATCGAATTGAAAACATTCACTCGGCATCTAATGGTGGAATAGAAACATCATCATGATGCCTGTTATTTTTCTATTTTGTCGATTTTTTTTTTCTTCTCGAACACAGCGCCTCCGTTGGGGCTTTTTTTCGCATTGCATTTCGCATCAATGAATGCTCATCGTTGATAAACATATGTGAGTGATACAGCATTGATGATGATGATGAGAAAGAGATATGCGGATAAAATAAATAAACTCACATCGAGCATATCGTGGAAATATTCATTGAAGGGTGAAAATTGGAAATTGAAGAATTTTTCTTTTTGAATTAGGGGTTTTTAAGGCTGTTTGGTGGGGACTTAGCTGGAAATGTTTTTTCGATTTTATGTTCCTGAATTTTGTGGTTATGTTCCTAAATTTTGAGGCTATGTTCCTAAATTTTGAGGTTATCTTCCTGAATTTTGAAGTTATGTTCCTAAATTTTAAGGTTATGTTCCTGAATTTTGAGGTTATGTTCCTGAATTTTGAGGTTATGTTCCTAAATTTTGAGGTTATGTTCCTGAGTTTGAGGTTATGATTCTGAATTTTGAGGTTATGTTCCTGAATTTTGAGATTATGTTCCTGAATTTTGAGGTTATGTTCCTGAATTTTGAGGTTGTGTTCCTAAATGTTGAGGTTATGTTCCTGAATTTTGAGGTTATGTTCCTGAATTTTGTGGTTATACTCCTAAATTTTGAGGTTATGTTCCTGAATTTTGAGGTTATGATTTTGAATATTTAGGTTTTGCTCCTGAATTTTGAGGTTATGTTCCTGAATTTTGTGGTTATACTCCTGAATTTTGAGGTTATGTTTTTGAATTTTGATGTTAAAATCCATAGTAAAACTCAAATAATCATCACATCCTTACTCATTCTCCACACAAACATGCACCGGATGACAATTTATTTTTCCTCTTTATTTTCTCCTCTTGCTTGCTTCCATGACTGCAATTTTATACTCTTATACATTTTTTTCTTCATTTTTTATGATTGTGAACTCGTAGTTTATTTCCTTTATTTCGTGCTTGTTTGCTCGATTCGTGCTTCTTGTTGTGCTCCTTTATGCAGATATAAATGGAAATAAAGACTCTTTTCAGATGCGGTTAATGGTGTTTTGCAGTATATTATTTAAGATAAAGTTGGATTGTAAATTGTAAGGAGGGTTGGCTGTAAGGAAGGTTTGTTTGGATGAAGGACCATTGATATTGCTTGAATTATTATGAAAAACAATTTTAGCCAGGCAGGTCCCTTATGTTGCTGTTTCTATCAAGCACTAATCCCCCCCCCCTTAAATTCCTACCCCCTAATAAGAACTCAAAATTAAAAAAAAAAAACTTTTCCTCTTCATGTTCATTTGAGCCGTAGCTTTAAATAAACAAAATCATCTTCGTTCCTCTAAATAAATACCAATTTAACCTCACATTTACTTAATACATCTGCCAGTAAAAAATATACGAGAAGAGAGAAAAAAACCAGAAAAAGAAGATAAACACTAAAAATATTATTTCATTTCCATCGAAATGTGAAATCGATTTTCGGTCGAATGGCATCTCATGTGGTTTTAAGTAAAAAACAGAAATTTTTTTTCGTATTTATTTTGTTGCTGTTTTCATTTCCTCTCTCTCCCCTCCAGTGAATGTCTATATTCTGCTTATTTCCGAGTTTTATGTAGGAAAAATTGAGAAAATGAAGAAGAAATTGATCAGATTGTGAAAAGCTGCAGGGAGTATTTTTTGTGTGGTTTCTGCTTTTGTTGCTGGAGTTTAGGTTAGTTTTGTTTAATTAATCCACGTGTTTTGGGAGATTAAGTTAATTAAAATTAAAAGAAAGAGGATTTTGTGAAATTTTGGAGAAAAAACTTTAAATTTAAGCAATATAACCTCAAAGTAAGGCGTAATAAGCAGAATTTTTGCTCCCTAACCTCAAAAAATGCAATAAAACATAGAATTTTGGAATTATAACCTCAAAATCAGGCAAAATAACCTTAAATTTGGTAAAATAACCTTAAAATTTGAGAAAATAACCTCAAAATTCTACAAAATAACCTCAAAATTCGATAAAATAGCCTCAAAATAATTTTCAAAAAGTAATAAATTTCTTCCACAAATTGATTTCATGATAAATATTTTTCCAACAAAAACGCTCAGAACTCAAAATAATCACAAAAATCAACAAAAAGAAAGAATTTCTACCAGTTCTGTCATCATTTCTTCCATTTCCAAAAGTCCAATCCGATTAAATTTTCTTCATTTTTTTCATTCCACAAACCATTCATGTTATCTCCCAGACTCCCCTTTTGTCGATTTTTTTAGTCTCAAATGTACAATTTTATTTCATTTTCCATTTGAGTGTGTCAACATTTTCCTTTCATTTTTGTTGTTGATGATAAGCCGATTTGGACAGTTGATGGGTTCAAAAATATTTATTTTACATTTGTATCCTGAGAGTGACCGCAGCACATCCTTGGATTGTGTTTTTTATTTTATAAGTTCTTTCTTGTCTAAATGGCTTCTTAATTTTTTTTAAAAAAATGAGAAAATAATTTTTGAGGTTATATTGGCTCACTTTTAGGTTAAGTTCAAATTCTTGAGGTTATGTTGCCTAATTTTAGGGTTATATTCCTAAATTTTGAGGTTATCCTCTAGAATTTTGAGGTTATGTTATTCAATTTTGAGGTTATGTTCCTGAATTTTGAGGTTAAGTTGTCATCCTAATCTAAAACATTCAATAATATCCCCAAGATACCTCTTAAGTACCCCTTTCCCTCCAACTTACCCATCCCATCCTAATTCCTTCAACTATTACATCCAATTATACCTTTTGTTCTCTCAACAAGTC